ACATAAGAGTACTTTAGACGAGCGAAGGTTCAATCCGTTTTCGCCCGAAATGCTGGAGGATGTCTCGTGGACTGCATCAACCTGAACGTCGTACTGAGCCAAAATGCAGCAGTATAATGCGAATCAACCGGCGTCTTTCAGTAGGACTGACTTATTAATCTCTTATCTTAGGAGATTCTTCTAAAGTCAAATTTTCTTCATAGAAGGGTAAATTAGATTTTTAAGATGTTGCTTAAAGACAAACCAAAACTGATATGGAGCCAGATAAAGCCTGAAGATGCTAGCAATTAAAGTTGGCAAGCAAGTTGTAGATAATCTTGAATAATTAATTAGTTAATTATTTCATTTTAATTATCAGTTGAATTAAGTTAGAACCATCCCGATGAATATAAAATATGCCTTTGAAAAAAACATGTACCGAATTCAAATAATGAAGGCAAACTAATTGAATACCTGGCGATATAAAAATAGGCAACCCATGCTGATAGAGCGAGCATATTTGTGATCAAAGAAGAATACAAAATGGGCTAAAGGCATTCCCAACTGACTTAGTTATAGTAGTCTGCATCGAAATAAAATTTGTTCAAGATGGGCATAAATAGTCGGCCTCAGAGATAACAAATCAGGACGGTTATAATATAGAGTGCCAGTCTAGACTGGTGTGATTGTCAAATACTACCTGATCGTTTTAAAACCAAAAATAAGATTATCACCTTAGCTGCAGGACTCCCTTTGGCAACTTTTCGAATGTAAACGCCGGATGAGTTGTCTGATCCAACGTTCAAGATGTAAATTCCATAGCCATATTCACTCTATAAAAATAATTGCGTATAAAATATAGATTTTCCAATATAAAGAGCATAGTAAGTGGCCAACTAATTAGCAATTATGCAAAAAGTTAATTACAATGGAGACTAGTAGGTCAATCTCACCTGAGAGAGCGATTGATTCCCATGGCCCTACAATCATATGATTGTAATATGGCGCCCAGATTGACGCATTCCATGGGATATTTTCGTTTGGTTTGCGTGAAGACGTGCTGAATTTTCGTCCGTCATATGGCAATTATCAGAGCAGGATCGTATTCATATAAAAACTATAATTCCGCACTTAATCAAAAAGACAAAGCAGTTCTTCGTAGTTAAAATAATGTCAACTATACCGACTTACTTAGCTTCATAACTCTAAGTCTATGTATGAATGAGATCTAGCTCAGATTAAACCTACTGTGACAGATAATGGTTCGGCCGTTGTTAGCGGAACAGAACGAAGATATCAGACGTAATGTATAAATCTGAGTCTTATAATAAAATCGAACGATAGCAAGGCAGCAGAAAACAATCGTCGTCATCTGATTAAATCGCCTTACGAATCTTTTTATCAAGCACACTACTACGAAATGGAAGTCACCGCTGCAGTGGTATCCCAAAATGCTCAGCGGAACTAATTTACTTATCGTATAAGAAAAGAGATGCATGCATGATTGAATCGGTCTTGGAAAAACAAGTATTCAAATAGTAGATCAAGCAGTAAACGATTTAGCGATTTGTAGCGGATTACGAAGCAGTCAAATATAATTAGGTTACAATTACGCCACTATTAAAATAGTCACATCAAATAGGCCTAGTCTATGGATGGCAAGCCAACCTTGCCATAGGAAACAGACATACTCGTGTTAAGTCGACTTCAAACGTGTGAACCTGCATCTCTGTCTGCATTTCCTCGGGCCCTGGGCCTATGGGCGAAGGTTCGACCAATGTAGGAGACGAAGAGCCAGAATGGATAGAGACCGGAGAAGTAGGGCGGATAAAAGACGAACAGAGGAGCGGTGAGAGACGTGGTGAGATTACTGTATCAGGTACATTTGTTGCTCCGTTGGCGAAGCTACCATGAATGGCGGCTGCTGTTTGAATAGATGATCCAGGAGGGCTCTCAGCTGTCGAGCACAACAAATGCTGAAAAAATATGATAAGACGAGATAATATAAAAATGTGTAAACTGATATAACTTAGAGATATGAAGACCAGGATGGTGTGGCCTTTTGTATGGTCGCAATCTCCTTCCGTTGCATAGAAGTTTTTTGACCTTGTTTTCACAACTTGGCCATATTAGCAAGAAGATCTAGAGGAACGCACCTTGTCCGGAGTCCATAATATACATGATAATTTCCAGAGTCGCGACCAAGTTGCGATAACAAGGTCAAACAACTTTGCTAAAATTTGAGTTGAAAGTTGAAGATTTAAAAGGCAAATAAAGGGACAGACGTGCCAGGTTGATGTAAAAAGTATATAGGATGTGGGGTAGTAAGAAATACGGTAATAGGACGATATCATGATAAAAAGAATAATTATTAGGGAACATTTAACAGAGGTTTTGCCAAAAAATAATGAGTTCTTGCACATGAAAAATGAATTCGTTTGAATGAGGAAAGTATTAAACATATATTATGGATGCCTGAATCTTATAAATTAGATCGTTATATATATATATATATATAAGGGCAAGGAGCTTTAACATTTTAGTCTCATAGTAAATATGCAAATTTGACCGCAATAATGAATCCCAAACAAAAAATATAGTCCAAGTTGGAGTATGCGCAAAAAATGGATACGATTTCCCTTATAAGTAATCCGAAAAAAGGTAACTGCTTAAAGAACAAAAGTAAAACACTGGAGGCTAATGAAATAAAGCTAAGGATATATGAAGACCAAGATATTGTGGCCTGTGTTATGATCGCAGTCTCCTTTCGATTTATAGAAGTGATTTGACATCGTTGTCGCAACTTGGTCTTGTTGTCAGGGGGACTATGTAGAACGCACCAAGCCCGAAGTCGTCTGGCCTAGTAGTTGTCATTATTCCCAGCATCTGAGAGTGGACTTGATATATTCTCACACGTTTCACCGGCATCATCAGTGAGCTTTGCCATTTTCCGCACCAAGCTACGAACTCGTCAGAGATAAGTGAAGTCAATCCCTCGAAAACCGTTCTGCCGAAAATGGTTACATTATCACTCCTCTTTCTGTCATTGTCTATCTATCTACTCTTTACCCTCTAATTCCACTGCCGCCCTATCAAAACTTATGGCCATTTTACATTCCGACTCGGGCCTCCAATCCGGATCCTTTAATCGTCTCGTAGATCCGTTCATTATCTTTCTGGTTGGCCGATTTCACTCGGTTCTAGTCCCAGTGTGCATTTCATTCCAGGCGCTATTTCTCAAGGTCCTAGAAGCACACAAACTGCCGCTTCACTGAGCGAAGCGCTTAAGCTCTGATTCCCATGCTTGCAGATATCAGGCCTTCCCTACACTGGTCGTCTCCTTGATTAAACAACTATTATCTAAGCAAATGGTGGACGCATAGCTCTGGTCGCATGTGGCCTCTCAAGTGGATTTCTAGTGCATTTTGGCCAGAACCACTAATTTATGACGGTGTGCTCATCCGTCTGCTCCCTGACTGCCAGGCCCCCAAAAGTTGTACTGGTTTATTCAAAATGGCTATCATTCACTGACGTCTTCGCTTAATTGCCGGATACCCCTGCCCCCCACTTCCGTTATCGTAATTCCTTTACTTCCGGTTAGCGGCAGATCCATGCTCCAGACGTCTCCTTTTTGATGGTCTTGTTCTATTGTTTTCTCCGATTATGCTTAGGCAGTAGGCAAAGTCATCGCTAACTCTACTTTCCCCAATCTCATGTTCATTAGATTTGTCTCCCCAACGATGTCCATGGCCTCCCTAATCTTCCGCTTCCTTGTGTTGTCACCGTATGGAGCTTTCCTCTCTGTTGCCTTCCAATTGATTTCGTGTCCAGTCTGTGCGATGTGTTCCGCTAATTCTGATCTTTCGGTATCCATTTTCCTGTAGAGCCTCTGATGTTCCTTGATTCGAGTGCTGATTTTTCTTCCTGTTCCGCAGCCGCCGCATGATATACAGTAAAAACCTGAACAATCCAATTTGTCTACCCTTTCATGATGACTTGTGAAGCGTTGATTTATCCTTCATGGCCACCTGAATATTCCATTTACTCAATATTGGCCGTAGTTTTTGAGTTAGTTCGCAGAAAGGCAGGCATATCCACTTTTGTGAATCTTTCATCGTCCTTACTGTTCTTTCATATTCCACGTTATGCCATCGGTTTTTCACGGCCCGTATGTTTCTTTGTATTACTTCGCTTGGGTAGCCATTGCCGAGGAAGATCCTAGTCCATTTGTCCAGCTCCTCGTCCCAGACATCTGCGTCCGTCAGGCGTAAGCTTCGGATGATCATGCTCCTCATTATTCCAATCTTTAGCCTGTAATTGTGATGGAACCGGAAATTGAGTATTATCCTAGCAAAGGACTTCTTTCTGAACAATTTCATTAGAACTTCAAGGTCCATGAACGGTAACCGCTCACCTTCCTCTAATTCGATTGTGAATTGAATTTTTCCATCTATCTGGTTTACAAATTTCAGAAAGTCTTTCAGTTTTTCTCTTCCATATGACCAAAGTGCGAAGTAATCATCCAGGTACCACATGAGCACTGTCGGTTGTA